GGTTTAGGGTTTAGGGTTTAGGGTTTACGGTTTAGGGTTTCGGGCCCCAAACCGTTAATTGGCCTAGTAACCCTTCAAAGCAGGGAAGGCTCCGTGAAGGCTTTGCTCCTGTCCATTCATGTTTCCCCAACAGGGCTCGGGGTTTAGGAGTTTAGGGGTTTTAAGGTGAACCCTAAACCCTAAACCCTAAACCGCTGAGATCAACCTTGCATCTGCCCCACTTTTGGCTCCCGCAGTTGGGTTTAGAGTTTAGGGTTTAGGGTCCAGGCACTCCTTCTACAAAAAAATAGTTTAGGGTTTAGGGTTTAGGGTTTAGGGCTTAGGGTTTAGGGTTTAGGGTCTAGGCACTCCTTCTACAAAAATAGAACAGCCTGAAACCTATCTTAGGGTTTTGGGGCTTCGGGTTTAGGGTTTAGTGTTTAGGGTTTAGGGTTATAAGGGCCCTTGGTAGCCCCGTAACCATACTATAAGAAGGGCACCCTTTTTTGGGTTGGTTAATTGACAAGGAACCTTCAACCCCAAAAAAGGGAAAAGGCTACCACTTGGCTACCAAGCTATCTTGCAGCCTAATTTGAAATAGTCGCCAGAAGGCTACTAAGGGGCATAAGGCTTGGGGTTCTTCAGGGGCTTTCGGGGCTTTAGCAGCATGAGATGAGGGAGAACCCTACTGCGGTCCTGTGTAGTAGACCTGACCCGTTTTTACAAAGCTTGGGGGGGGCAGAGGGCTTAGGGTTTCGGGTTTAGGGTTTAGGGTTTAGGGTTTGTGATGTACCTAGGGTCCCAAAGGACCCCGTTAACCGAAGACATGCACATCGTTTGCGACTTCAGATCTCGCAACCCATCTTTACGTCACAACAACACGTAAATCTGCACTTTCAAAGCAGACGAGTCCGGACGGCAAGACCAAAGATTGCAATCTTTGGTTGAAGCCACGTTCAGAGGTCAAGGGTTGCAAGCTGCCAGGCATAAACACATTCTCCAAAGTTTGGTTGAAGCCATCTCCCAAGCGCAAGGATTGCAAGCTGCCAGGCAAGGCCACGTTCTCCAAGCTCTGGTTGGACAAGTATCCGAAGCTCAAGGACTGCAAGCTGCCAGGCAAGGCCACATTCTGCAAACTCTGGTCAAAACCGTCTCCGAAGCTCAATGACTGCAAGCTGACAGGCAAGGCCACGTTCTCCAAGCTCTGGTTGAAAGCTTCTCCGAAGCTCAAGGACTGCAAGCTGGCAGGCAGGGCAACATTCTCCAAGCTCTGGTTGAACGCGTCGCCGAATGTCAAGGACTGCAAGCTGCCCGGCAAGGCCACGTTCTCCAAGCTCTGGTTGAAATTGTCGACGAACGTCAAGGACTGCAGACTGCCAGGCAAGGCAGCATTCTCCAAGCTCTGGTTGAAATCAGTGCTGAACGTCAAGGACTCCAAGCTGCCAGGCAAGGCAACATTCTCCAGACTCTGGTTGAAGCGATACCCGAAGCTCAAGGACAGCAAGCTGTCGGGCAAGGCAACATTCTCCAAGCTCTGGTTGAAGCGATACCCGAAGCTCAAGGACTGCAAGCAGTCAGGCAAAGCCACATTCTCCAAGCTTTGGTTGAACATATATCCGAAGCTCAAGGACTGCAAGCTGCCCGGCAATCCCACATTCTCCAAGCTCTGGTTGAAAGCATCTCCGAAGCTCAAGGAATGCAAGCTGCCAGGCAAGGCAATATGCTGCAAACTCTGGTTGAAACCGTCTCCGAAGCTCAAGGACTGCAAGCTGCCAGGCAAGGCAACATTCTCCAAGCTCTGGTTGAATACGAACCCAAAGCTCAAGGACTGCAAGCTGACAGGCCAGGCCACGTTCTGCAAGTTCTGGTTGAAGTTCTGTCCCAAGGTCAATGACTGCAAGGTCCCAGGCAAGGCCACGTTCTCCAAGCTCTGGTTGAAATCGTCGCCGAACGTCAAGGACTGCAAGCTGCCAGGCAAGGCAACATTCTCCAAGCTCTGGTTGAAGCGATACCCGAAGCTCAAGGACTGCAAGCTGCCGGGCAAGGTCACATTCTTCAAGCTCTGGTCAAAACCGCCTCCGAACCTCTCTCTTGTTAAAGAACATCCGAAGCTCAAAGACTGCAAGCTATCAGGAAAGGCCACATTCTCCAAGCACTGGTTGAACATATCTCCGAAGCTTAAGGACTGCAAGCTGCCGGGCAAACTCACACTCTCCAAGCTCTGATTGAAATCGTTTCCGAAGCACAAGGACCGCATGCTGTCAGGCAGGGCAACTTTCTCCAAGCTCTGGTTGAAGCGGTGCCCGAAGCTCAAGGACTGCAAGCTGCCAGGCAAAGCCACATTCTCCAAGCTCTGGTTGAAATCGTCGCCGAACGTCAAGGACTGCAAGCTGCCCGGCAATCCCACATTCTCCAAACTCTGGTTGAAAGCGTCTCCGAAGCTCAAGGACTGCAAGCTGCCAGGCAAGGCAAAATTCTGCAGACTCTGGTTGAATCGTCTCCGAAGCTCAAGGACTGCAAGCTGCCAGGCAAAGCCACATTCTCCAAGCTCTGGTCGAAAATGTTGCCGAACGTCAAGGACTGCAATCTCTTTGGCAATTCAACATTCTCCAGACTGTGCTCACCGTAACATACCAACGAAGAGATTGCATCCTTTGCATGCGCGTCCACCACGCTCAAGCGTTGGCCGTGATAGCCTCGCAGAAACGCAGCTGCTGCGTGCCCTGCACCAACCTAGGTTGGCCCCTTAAACCCACTGACGAAAACTCCAAGACAAGGTTCTATTGCACCTAAATAGCAAGGGAAAGTATATATAACATGGCAAGGGCAACCTGCTGAACCACATACGTGATGACATCGCCCTGAACTTGCTCCAGCAGCGGCTTGGAATCGTCCAGGCCATTGCCGCCAGCCAGCAGGACAAGCATGCCACTCAGTCGCAAGCCGATCCTTCCTGCGACGCTCTTGCGCAAGTCTTCCACGGTCATGTCGTCTTCAAGAGGAAGCTGCACTTCGGAACCATCCAGACCACAGACCATCAACTGTCGGGAAGCAGTGAGGCCATCAAACTCGTCAAGGCACTGGCGGAGGACCTCCCGTTCTTCGTGAGTCAACCCACGAAGCATGGCCCGATATCCTGGTGCGAGATCAGCCATATCTTGGCCTGGCGCCTTGTTTTGGGCGACCTCTATGGACGAAACGAAGTT